CCATTTTTTTAATATCAGCAAATTACCATGACTGTTTTTGATAAAGATAATGTAGTGGTTTCTTATTGCTTTTTTGATAGTTTTGAATTTAGAATTTTCATTTCCCAAGAAGGGTTGCCCAACAAAGCTAAAAAAACAAGTTTGCTTTACAGCATTACCAAAGCTTAGTAGAGGAGAGATAAATTCATGCCTTTTTCAAGCAAATTAGTGCATGTAAAATCTTTGGCCAAAATTTGAACTTGGCTTGCCAATTCCATTTTCTATGCAAGTAACTGCACATCTATAAAGGATATAAGTTTTAATTTGATATTTTGAGTTCTTGAAACTGTTGGAACTACCGATGAGACAAAGAGTGCTGAACAAAGTGAAACATGATAGTTTTAAGTGACAGATCTGGATAAATGTTATAACTCACTCCTCATGGTTATAATATTATGTCTTCCTTAGGCTACTAACTGTGACATCATCAATTCTCTTTCCTTGACTGACTCTAATGGACTTCAACTGACTCACTTTGAGTTATTTATTTAAAACATCTTGACTAGTTCATTTGTGTTACTAGTGGTGTCTTATTTACTCCACAACATCTCCCCCATTTTGAGATTTTTTTTTTCCACTAGTAAATATTTTATTTTATTTCTTATTATTCAGCTCTTCCTCTTTCTAACTGAATTCACCATGTACTGAACTTTGTATTTCTTTGTTTTGAGTCAACCTCTAGTTTTTCTGTATGCTTCTTTTTTCTGGTGATCATCCTTGTATGTTCAACAAGTATGTTGTATTTCCTTTGTTTTGGGTTAACCTCTAGTTTTCCATATGTTCCCATTTACTGGTAATCATCCCTGTACATTCCCTTTTTTTTTTTTTTACTGTATATATAATTTTTCCAATTTGTTACTTTACTATGCTGACATTTCTTTTCCATTTTTATATACTCTGAAAAACATTTTTCACCAATTTTGAAAAAATTTCTGTCTTTTTTGTTATTCGTTCTTATATTTTTTGACCTGATAGCAACTTGTCGAATACTGATTTAATTTTTCTTGAGAATATCAATTCTGCTGGTGCCATGTCTATTGGTGTATTGGGATTTAACATTATCCCGTATACTCACAAGAATTTTTGTAGTGCCTCTTCACTCACTTTTTCATTACTTGCTTTTTTCAAAGCTCTCTTAAAGGTATCTACAAACCATTCAGCTTGTCCATTTTACCTTGGGTGATATGGCTGGATATAATATGTTTAATTGTGAACATTTTATAAAATTCTTTAAATTCATAAGCAGTGAATTGTGTACCGTTATCTGAGACTATGACATCCAGAATGTCAAGTAAAAAATTCACTATAACCATGGAAGTTATTTTTTTGCACTTGCAAGTTGCAGGCGACTGACTAAAGGTATCCACTACCACAAAATAATGTGATCCATTTATTGAACCTGCGAAATCTATGTGCATCTTGACCACAGAGTATCTGTCTTTGGCCTAGGTTGTAATTTAGTGGTAGGTGATTTTGTTGCCACGCAACTACAGGTTTTTATTAATTTTTCATTGTATACATGGATTTTGCTCTAGTATACAAAGCTTCTTATAAAAGATTTCATCCTTGAAATTCATTTAATATCTGCTTTTCTAATATGATATGTATTACTACTCTTTGTGCCAACATCAGTACTTCATCATATAGTGAGTAAGCGTTCAAGTCTGGATTGTGTTCTAAAAGTCATCTATCTATCTTTCTTTGTTTTTTAGTCATTTTTTAATTTCGAAATAAACATGTCTTGTTCTGCTTTTACTTTTATTTCTTCCATAGTAACTACATTGCATAATATATTTTTAATTTCTCTTTCAATTTTTAATGCTACAATAACAGTGTCCTCAAACAGTTCAATATTTTTTTGGTATCAATCTTGATAAACCATCATCATGTCCTAATTTTTTGTATGGTTGGTATTCCATCCTGAATCATAAATTTTAGTCAGAATATAAAAGTAGCAAATCTCTTGATTTTTTTTTGGTAGTACAAAATTACAGTATTTTTCATGTTTTACTTGTACTAACTTTCTCAACAAAAGTCTTGTTTTTTTCTCATCTTCCCAGTCACTGCATTCTTTTCTGAAAATTTGCTTGTATCTTTTAAAACAAGTAGAAAAAATAATTCCATCATCGGAAATGTATGTGAATTCAGTTATGGCATTTGCTACTGTGTCGAGAGTGAAAGAACTTTGGGAATATTCCGTTTTCTTCTGTATTATTTCAATTAAATTTTGTTGTTGTTTCTGGGGTTCCAACAACTGATGGTGTTGTTATTGTTATATTTTTACCAGTTGGGCTAATATTTCTTCCATATTTAAAGAATATCTGCTTTTTTATCATCTTTCTCTATTTTTTTCTTTTTTACACATGCCAAAGAAAAAAAATGAATTAAGGTGGTTCTGATTTTTTTCTCATTTTCATTGTTAGCATGTGTGCTGAAGCAAAAAGTACTTTTTCCTACTCTGTATGAGTTTTCATTCCATGTTGGCATTGTTATAACTCAAACCTAGCACTTATAATATTATGTTTTGCTTAGGCTACTCACTATGACATCATTAATTCTTTCTCCTTGATTGACTCCAACGGCGTGACTCACTTTGAGTTCTTTATTTAAGGTGTCTTGCCTAGTTCATTTGTGTTATTGGTGGTGTTATTTACTCTACAACAATAATACACTTCATATAGAAGAATTTCCCATTCCAACTCTGTGTTCATTTCTGGTAATAAACATGAAGCATGCAGACAGACATTACTATCCCACAAAATCATCATTCAACTTCAATTTCAAGAAAATGTTTTCTCTCCAAATGCAGCCTTCAAATATGCATTGTGTACTAACAGTTTATTCAAGTTCCAAAAATTTGTAATAAAGATTTTCTTTTAAATTAAAAAAAAAACAGAGAGAATTCTGAATGTAGCTTTAATTTATGTTGAATTGTTGAAGGCCATTTTGGATCTAGCTGGTTTTCAGTATTTTTTATTCTTGTAATAAATCCATTTTCATTGTTTATCTTATTCAAAAATGACATTTTCTGTTTTGAATAAGAATTGAAAATTTAAACTGTTTCATTCCCTATGTTCAAATGAAACTCATTTTCCTCACTTTTAATTCTTTACAAAAAATTTTTAGATGAAGAATTATCATTATTATATGCTTCATACTGGTATGCTCATTTTGGTTATTATACTGAAATTGTTTCACCCATTGTACTCTCCAGCTTTTCTCAGGTGTCTGTCTTAATATTTGGTAAAGTTCTTGGAACTTCAAACTGAACCTTTATTCAATCCATGGAAGTATATCTTATCTTTAATCTACTTTCCATGATTAGAGATTATTTAATATCAGTTAATACTCATCAGTTTTATTCAGCTTTGTGTCATTTGTCCATTTCTTCCACTGAGTTAGAGTATGTGACTTTTCAGCACTTGCAGACATAGGGATAGAACTCAGAATTGCCATGGAACAAGATATACTTTAACCAACACATTAATCCACTAGACCATGTCTCTGCAATGGTATAAAGTAATCATTTTGTCAGTTGTCAAGTACAAAGAGTACCTAAAGAAGGCTGGAGAGTACAACAGTTGAAACTTTGTGAATATGACAACCAAGTTGAGCATGCAAGTCTAAATGAAAACATTGTGTTTTTTTCCTAAGATCTGTAAATGACAATTGACTGATTGTGCAAGCAATAAAGGAGAACTTTAAAGTTGCTTATAAGATTTCTTGTATGTACCTTCATGTGATAACAGTGGTTTAGTTTCAAGAAAAGATATAGAAAGATATAAAAGATTTGTCAGCATACAGTGATATTTGGTTTACTCTCCTTGCAAGTTGGTGTTTTTTGAATTTATTCCTGACAGAGTGCACCATGAACATAAACCAAGTATCAGTAATGTTGGCATTATTTATTAAGTAGTTATTGATGAGTGTAAGTTTTGGTCTAGTTAAAGATGGTAATATTTTTTTTTTTACCTCAGAGAATGTAAGAGCAGAATTCTTCCTAATATTAACCACTGAGTTGATAGTAAGAAGGAAAGAAAATAAAACAAAACAAAATGAACCCACTATTTGCTTTCATTGAAGTCAAAAAATAAGCTGGCAGTGTTATAACTGGAAGCCAAATGTTTTTTTTTTTTTTTTTTTTTTTTTGCAGGGACAGGAGAATTGTAAAGGGAGAAAAATTAATAAAATCAAGCAGTTAATCAATTAGAATGTCTTTCAATAGAAACAACAGAAATCCAAAGACATATAGGAAGAGCAAAAAATTTCTTCCAAAGACTGAACAAAGTATTAATAAATGTGAAAAGAGTGCTGAACTGCTTTTATCCTATCAATCATTCTATATGGCAGTGAATACTAGACAATTTCCTCACAGATGAAGAGGAGACTTGAAGTAATAGAGATGTGCTTCTACAAACAGCTGTTGAGGATGGAACATGTAACCAATTTTAACCAAGTTTTAAAGAAAATGAGAAAAGGAAGGAATTAATGCTTAGTCACAGAAAGGGACAGTTAAAATTTCTTGAACACAAACTGGCTAGAGGGAAACTGAATAACCTACTTAATAAATTTATGTAAATGGATGGCAGAGCAGGGATGATAAGTGGAGAAATGTTGTTTAGAGCTAAAAAGAATGGGAAACTGTAGAGAACCATGATCGGCCATATCCTGAAGGGACATGACACATAAGAAGTTATTCTGTCTCTCACTCTGTGTGTAGTAGTGTCTCTTTAGAGCATGGATGATGCCACATAGTTTACTATCTTTTGTTGCTCTTACTTTTTCCTTTATGGATCATCTTTGTCTTTATGGTACTTATTTTTCCATTCATTTGCACAAATTCTACTACATGACATCACCATCCATTTTCTTCAGTTTTTTAATATTAAAAACTTAAAATGATATGGTTCTTTTTATTAAATTTTACAAGTTGATTTTTAAAGTGATAAAATTGGTCTTACCATGTGATTTCTCACTCAGGGCAATTTCAGCCTCCTTCTTGCTGTGTGCGCTATCAATAGATGACTGGGAGGTCAGCTTTTCCTTGTGGCCCACCTTTGTTAAATCTTTATCTGGAGCCACAACAAATGGTCCCTTTTTAGCCTCTTTCAAAGCAGAAGTTGCTCCCTCCTCCTGAAAGCACAAAATGAGAAACAGTGAGTGACTCAGAAAGAAATGTATATTTATAAATGGGTTTACATATTTCTAAGCTAAAAATGCAAGATAATAATAATAATAATAATCAATGCCCTGATGCTGTATCATATATGGCACACATGATGTATGGCTTATATTAATTGATTGGTGGTTTTAACTTGCATGTGTTTTATCTTGGCAAATTAAAATGAGACAATAAAAGATCTCTTTCAGTACCACAGATTTACTTGTCAGTTGACTAAATATAACCAGTTGGGTATGTCCATAGAAGCTGACACACTGGGTATCTCTCTTCATGAGTGGAAATAGTTAGGGGACATCATGGTGAGGTATCAAGAGGGTTGTTTTTTCTGAAGTTTGAAAGCTGAGTCAGTCAAGTCAAATTGAAAGTCATATTTAGATATTTGGGAAAACCCCGAATTGGAGACCATCTGAGCAGACTGTGTTACCTGACTTGAAGGTATTTCTAAATGGGCCCTACCTGCAAGGTTATGCCTTGTTTTTATCAGAATCATGTACATTTGGCTGGAATGCATGTTAAATTTCTCAGCTCTGTACAATATATAGATATAAATGTACAATATAAATGAAATATTGAATATAATTTGTCTATTCCATAAATTCAAGCTAATATCTGTCTTTGTTACTCTGATAACTATATTTTAGCTTGTGTATTATGCAAGTATCTTTTACATTAGTGCTCATTGATGATTACCAAATAATAGAGTTGCCCTGTTGGTGCTTAAAATATGCTGTCTGCAGCCTGTTTATACTTGAGTTTGTAAGTATCCACCTGGAAGGTGGCTTCTTTTCAGGTGTATAATTACAGACTAAGGTATAAACCCAACTGCAGTCTACCTTTTTAACTTTAGTTTAAACTGGCCCTATGTCTGCCATTTTAATTCTAGTAAACTGGACCTATGGTTATATTTTTGACTTTCATATATTCAGACCTTTGTCTATCTTTTTGATTCAAGTGTGAACCAGACCTATGTATATTTATTAATTCATTATGATTTTCATCCTATAAGTCATATATTCAACATGGAAAAATCCAAGAACTGATGTGTTATTAAATTAACCAACCTAAACTGAAAAATAATAGTGTAAACTTGAGAAAGATCAGAAAATGGATTGGTCAAAATATGAGGATCAAAATAACAAAAAAGAAGAAAATACTAGTCTCTAACAATTTATGGAAAAAGTATAAGACTTTATCTCAAAATTCTTGATAACATGTCAATTTAGAATTTAATGATTGTATGACTAAAATTGATTTAGTTTTCAACATGGGTGGCATAAGATTCAAGCTAAGAGGGTTATTGAATAGACATAAGATGAGGAAGTAAGTGCGGATTATAAGGATATGTAGAATAGATAATGGTTGACGTGAAGAGGTTAATATTGTAATGATTGGGGAAGCATCCTCTTGGGAATCTTTTCCACAAAGTAGTGGTTCTCAAGAAGAAGCATTTTGAGTGAAACCAAAAGAATACAAAGAGAATAAGGATATGTCAACCCTGTATATGTGACATGGCAGGTCCTAGCTGTAAATGTCTGGACTGCTGGAGCTAAGGAATGGAGCCTGCCATAACATTTTCCATGGAAATAGCGATAAAACTTCTATAGGCTTGCAATGTTGTGTCTGTGGGGAAGAATTTGTAGGGTGGAAAATAATTCATTATCCAGAAGGCTAAGTAAATGCTTTTAAACTCTGTCAAGACTGGAAAGTGAGAATTGGGCAGTTTTAGCCCAGGTATGGCTGCAATACTCCTTTAGTCTGATCTGACTTTTATAAAGGTAGGGCATGACAGAAGAATCATGTACTTCCTGGAGCAGTACAAGGAGCCAACCATTTTCCTAGCATCTTTGGCAATGGATCATATTTATGAATTCCACGAGGTCTGGGGTAAACTTGAGTCCTAATAGACTTTCAAGGCAAAGTGCATCATTGAGAGTACAAATTCTCATCATGAATGGAGAAAATTTAGGATCTGCTCAGTAATAATGGAAGGTTACTAGTTTGGTGCTGGAGATATTGAATATTACATGCTAATTTTTCTATTGAGATGTTAGAGTTAGCTCAACTGCCAGGCTCTAATCATAAACTGTCATACTATCTGCATAGTTATTTACTAATGTGTCTTCATCTTGTCTGGTTTTCCCACGTCAAGAGCACCTCTCTTGACTGAGAAAAACACTGGTGTTATATAGCTCTCCCAGTTCCATATCCATGCTGACTATTGGCTAATACCTGCCCAGTATTGTTCATATTCAAATAGTCTGTGCCACCTACTCTAAGTAGAAGGTCTTCTTTCAACAGCCCATTGTGGAAGGGGATGCAACTCCTGAACCGCATACAGTCAACTTGAAGTCTTTTATCGGGCCAACCCAATCCTCTGTTACACTCCTCATGGATCTCCTGATCACAAAATCAATATGTAGGGGTGGACATTGCCTTCTGGTGCTCCTTTGCAAAGGAGGTACTACATCCTCAGTGTTGTTACTCTCCATCTCCACTGTGGCAGGAACTGCATCGAAAATCAGGGAATCTATTTCCAACTCCCCATCGCCCATGGATGAATCATGGGTGTCACTTGCAGATTGGAGGTCTTTAACATGACGCAGCATGCCATCACTCAGGACAGATTGTAGACTAATGATCCTAGTGACCTTTTGCGCTTTCTTTTTCTGATTGAACTCGATGTTAAAGTCTGGTTCCTCTATGATGAGAGCCGCACACAGGGATGTTTTTTTTTTGTTAAAAAACTCTACTACACCTGAAGGAGTGATTCTTACTCTCCCTAGTTCTTTAATTGCATTCATCCCAATCAGAAGGTCGAAACCAAAATGGCTTTTCTCATGCCACCAGTATGTCAATCTTGACAGGACTTCTACCTTGCAACCGGAAAGCAACGACTCTTATGCCACAACAGGCTCTGGTCTCCCTGTCTATTGTTGTGATGCATACAGACCCTTTTGTCCATGACTGGCATATCACTCTCAGTGAACAACTAGTATTGACCAGTGCGGTAACGGTTCTGTCATCAAATTGAACCCCAATCACAGGTAGTGCTGGGCTGGAGAAGATACTGACACTGATATATCTCTTTTCATGTTTTCTTGGACAGTTTTGAGACATATGGCCCATAGTATGGCAGTAGTAACAGTGCATGGTATTGCATTGTTCTCTCTCCCATCCCTGTCATTTTGTCGACTCTGACAATCATTCGCCATGTGGTTAATACCTTTGCATCTAAAGCACTTTATGACATGAACATCTGTACTTTGCATTGGTCGGGTCACCGCTACCACCATGACTTCTTCCGTCTCCTTGTCTCTCATAATTGCTTGGGCAAGCAACAGGTCAATAAACAGCACATCCATCTTAGACAACATATGAAGAGTCCACTTTACATTGCCTTGCAACCCATGCACAAATGTGCAAGCCTGCATATGGTCACTCATCCCGCCCATCAAAAACATGAGTTTCTTCAATTTAGTCAGGTATATATCCATGGATTCACTGCACCACAGGTGCTGCTCAATGAGCTGTTTGTATACCATAAATAAATCTAATAAAAGCTTTAACTAAGATAGTCTTTATTTGGTCAACGTTGTATTTTGTTTTGTCATCCAGTTGTTGGTATATTACATATGCTACACCTTTAAGTTGCAAAGGGATCATGTGCTCCAAAGACTTCACTCCACATACCCTGAAAACGAGTTCCAGCTTCTCTATCCATTCAACCACTGGCAGACTGGGCACCAATCCGTCAAACTTGGGAATTAACTTTTTGAATTGGGAGTTTGTCATCATCCAGCAATCGCTAAAATAGCTTGTGTTCATCTTGTCTGGTTTTCACATGTCCACACATCAAGAGTGCCACTCTCAACTGAGAAAATCACTGGTGTTATATAGCTCTCCCAGTCCCAAACCTACACTGACTATTGGCTAATACCTGCCCAGTATCATTCATATGCAAGTAGTCTGCACCACCTGCTCTAAGTAGAAGGTCATCTCTCAACAGACCATTTTGGAAGGGGTCATAACTCCTGGTGCTCACAGCACCACATACAACCAACTCAGAGTCTTTTATTGGGCTAACCCAATTCTTTGTTACATAATGATCTGAAAATGTTCCTGACCATATTGTTAATATGAATCAGAATTGAAGAGCATTGGATTGAGGTAGAGACCCATCAGGGACACCTCATAGACTTCCAGGACAGGCCATTAATGATGGTGTTCATAGACCTACCTGATAGGAAGGACTTGATAACTGCCAAAACTCTTCCAGAAAGGATATAGTTGAAGAGTTTGTGCAGCATTCCCCAATGCCACATCATTACCAAATGCTTCACTGATACTGTGGATAAGACAGGACATCAGCAGTGGACCTAAAGGAGTGAAATCCAAACTGCTTTTCACTCAGGAGATTGTTTCTATTGAAGTAATCAACAAGCTTCTTGTTGATCACCTCAAAGCCTCAATGAATTTTCTGATGACTCTATAGAAGCTGGAGGTAATATTGTGATGTGGTTGAGTGCTCACTCACATTCTTTAAAACAGGTTATACGGCTGACACCTTTCATAAACATGGGATAACATTTCTTTTTCAAGTAGCGGTTAAACAACTTTGCCAAGATTGGAGATAAATCTGGGCTAATGTTCTTGAGAACAATCATTGGAATTTTATCTGAATTAGCACCTTTCACAAGTCTGGAAACTTCCTAAGCTAAGATAAAGAAATTAGAAGGTTTGTGTTCTGTGAGTTGAGAGATTTCAGGTATGTCATTTAATGTGGAGCTAGAGGCAAAGTTCATTGCAAACAGCTTAAACTTATCCAACGATGATGAGATAGTGAGTTACGGAAATTTTAAGTTAGTTTGTTAGTAGGTTTCACTACTGAAAAATAAGAAATAAAATTATTCTCAATAATTGGAAATTTATTGATAAAAAAGGGTTATTTTAT